TGGCTTGGATTGGAAGGGCCCTAAAGCTCATCTTGGTCCAGCGCCCCCCGGCATGGACAGGGACACCTTTCCCTACAGCAGGATGCTCCAAGCCTTGTCCAACCTGGATGTGAACACTTCCAGGGATGGGTTCAAGGAACCCACCAAGGCTAGGTTCAGGGAAGCACTGATTTGCAACCAGTCCCACTCTTGCAACCACAGATAAAATCATTCTTGTGTCCCTTTGGACTCTATTCACCCAAGTACCCCTGTGTGCCTCTGCCACCCCCTTCCCAGGCAGCAGTCCCACATTCCCCAAGGACTCCACACATCTGACTGGGCTGCTCCACTCTGGATCCTTGTCTCACTCCACCATCGTGTGGTTATTCCAAGAAAAACGAATGTCTGTGTTCTAATATTGAATGCCTCCTTATCCCAGGTGCAGACAGCAAAGGCAAAACCCTGCACCACCCTGCTTTGCTCTTTATCCCACCTTGGGCAAGCCAAGAGATACTCCCCCCACCCCCAACTCCCCCCTAACCCCAGCATATGGCATTGCAGGGGGACCTTGAACCTCTGGTACCTCCCAAGCCAGGACAGGCTCCAGCCCATGAACACTCCCAGCGGCCGGACTGTCATTGGCAGCAGTGGAAGAACACGTGGAAAAGCAGAAATTGGAGCCATCCCAAGTCTCCAGGCTGGTGCAGGCAGGGGCAGCCTGAGCAGGCCTTTTGGAGCCCTACCAAAATTGTGGCACTGGTGGCAGGAGCAGTCAGGCTGTGGGAGAAAGGCAGCTGGCAGAGGTTTAGAATTCCTCCTGACAAGCCCATTTTGGCCCTTTGCAGGTGACCAGTGGGACTCAGCCAACAGCAACATTGGAATTTATAAAGTTAATAAAGTTTATGCAACACTCCCCACGCCTGGGCAGGGTCCATGCTGTGCAGAACAGCAGAAACAAGTCTGGCTGTTGGCTGAGCAAGTCTGCAAGCACGAGGGGCCTGGAAAGGGGAGGCAGGAATGTGGTTTAGGGGTGGGATGAAGCCTGCTCTGTTCATGTCCACAGAGCTGCAGCCCTGTCCTGGAAAGGCAGCAGCTCATGGCTAGAGTGTTCCCAGATGGAAAAAGCTACAGGTTGGGTTTGGAAGTGGCTGCAGGAGGAAATCCCCTCCTTGCACAAACATTTTGCAGCCTGATCAAACAGCTGAGCAGAGAGCACACCTAGGTACAGCCCAGGCCCTCTCCTGCAGGAAAGGAAAGACTGAAGCCACATCCAGCAGGTGAAGGGCTATGGCACACTAAGGAAGGGCAGGGACACTCCTGGTGCAGGCACGGAGGGGCTCCTGCACCACAGAACGGTTTGGGTTGGAGGGACCCTGATGATGACCTTGTTCCAGCCCCCTGCCACGGGCAGGGACACTTTCCACGAGACCAGGCTGCTCAAATAGAGGAACAACAGTAAATTTGCAGGTCTGGCTGCCACCAGATGGAGCTCGAAAATAAGCAGGAGGAGAAGGGTGTGCGTGGGGGTGATGGGGGTGGTGTGGGACACAGCCATCCATGGTGGGTACCTGGAGACGCCAGGAGGGCTGGCAGGGCACCAGCCCGTCAGACACATGGCCCAGAACCAGCTCACTCAGCAGTCACAGTGACCTCTTGGGGATGTGGACAGGGAATATGGGGACGTGATGACACTGTGCTGCCCACAGCAGTTTTCCTTCCTCTTCCTCCTCCTCCTCCTCCTCCTCCTCCTCCGCTGCATGAAAAGCCAATCCACAGCCTGAGTTTGTCCTCCAGCACGGTCTCCTGGGTTTTAGCACTTCTCAGAGTCATTACTTGTTTTCTAAAAGTAGATAAACTTGGGAGTGGGGGGGGAGGAGAACCCAATTTTTTCTCCCAGGAGCTCAGCCTGATCTGGGCACTGCGGCCCTCCCCCCAAAACTGGACCAGGCTTTTCCTTAAATCCGCTCCAGAAAGGCAGCAATGCTGGGGTCCCAGTCCCTCTGGAACCACTCCAGAGTGGGCACTGCCAATCCTATTGTTAGAGGGCATTGCAAATCCTGCTGTTACAGGTCTCTCCTGTTGCATTTGCAGCCTGGCATGTGCCCGTGTGCGGATTCAGGGACCGGAGCCCTGACCCAGTGGCATTTGGAAGCAGCCTCAGGCTAAGGCGATGTATTTCAGCAGCACAGCTCATTTCTATTTTTAAGGTCCCACATCACCCTTTGAAGGGTGAGGGGGAAGCAAAGCTGCTGGAGGGAAACAAACCAAACCAAAACAACCCCCATCAGCAAGAGGCAGGGAATGTAAAGAAATACTTCTCACTGGAGGCGGTGGGGTGGCACGAGGGCTGCTGCAAGGGACGAGTGAGCAGAAAACACCAGCGAGTTTTTAGTAAATATGTGGATTAATCAACAGTTAAAACACCATTGAGGGAGCAGAGGGGGGACATCAGTCCCTGTGGAGTTGATTCTATGGGAGGTGGGTGCTTGCGCCTCCAATATCAAGCCCTACAGAAAGAAGGGGATTGATTAGGGAGATGTGCAGTGCATGGGGAGCCCCTTTCATCCTCTTGCTTCTACTGCACAATGTTTCCCTTGCTGTCCCACCACAGCAGCAACATGAGGACACAGGAAATCAGCTGGAATCATAGATTCCATAGGTTCAACCATAGGTTGGAAAAGCCCTCTAAGAACATCAAGTCCAACCGTTCCCCCAGCACTGCTGGGCCCACACTGACCCAGGTCCCCAAGTGCCACAACCACAGGTCTGTTAAACCCCTCCAGGGATGGTGACTCCACTGCCCTGGAAAGCCTGTTCCCATGCTTGGTAATTCTTTTAGTGTGGAAATTTGTTCCTGATATCCTAACCTAAACCTCTCCTGGCACAATCTGAGGTTGTTCCATAGAATTGTGAAACGAGAGTTTTCTCTCATCACTTGTTACTTGAGAAGAGAGACACCCACAGCAGTGGAGATGGAAACAGAACAAAAATAAATTTGCTTGGCTGTCAGATGCTTTTCCAAAATATGTCTGAAGGCTGTGAAAGGGTGAGAAAGGCACTAAAAGCCTTTTAATCCCAAGCAAAAAAGGCAATGCCTAGGGCTTTGCTCTCAGAAATGCCATGAAGCTGCCTGGGAGCACATCTGGGGGGATCTTCACTCCTAGCAGAGGAGTCTGAGTCTGTGACACTTCACACACATTCAAAAAAGCCTTTAATTCAGCAGGGCTTTTCCAGGCAGTTTTGCTTCACTGGACAGGGAACCATGGGCAGAACACTGTCAGAAGTTGCAGTCCCTTCTGTAAATCCAACACACCTTGGAGCAGTGAATGAACTTAACCTTCATCCAGCATCCGAAAGCTGGACAGGGGAGCATCCATGTGCTCATGGCATCACAGAGCAGCTCACTTAGAGCTGGATCAGGCTGGGGAATGTGCCCAGATGAAAGCCAGGGATATAGGACTGACACCTTTGCTCTGTCACTGCCTGCCCTGGGTGCCTGGGGACAGTTGATGGGTTTGTCCCTCCATGATCACAAGACCAACAAGCAAATACAGCAATATTGACTTTACCTTTGTGTGTCCACACTGATTTCCAGGCTTGGAAGAAAATATCTGTCTCTCCAAAAGACGTGGCTTTTGCTGGCAACCAGCAGCAGAGGAGATCCCTGAGGCATCCTGGGGCTGAGCAGCACCCAAAGGGCTTTTCTGGGGCCTGGGAAGACCCTGGTGCGGTGCTACAACCACACATCCCAGCCAGCCAGCCCACCTTGCCTTGTCTAACTCAGAAAGGGTTTATTTTATCTTGATTTTCCTGTGTTTTGTGAAGTTTAAAGGCTGCCATGTGTTTTCTGGGATGTGCAGCCCCACAGCAACAGCAGTTTGACTGGAAGTCACATCAGATCAGCTGCTGCCATGGATATGGGGGTCACTTTCAGGGTGCTGGCAGCCCCTGGGGTCCAAACTGTGTGTGCAGACTGCTGGAACAGCCCTGAAGCCATTCCCTTTGGATGCACACACTGACACAGGGGGAGCAGAGGTGCCAGTGCCACCCTGGCCCCTCACAGGGACAGGGGGCACAGACTCTCTGCCCCAGAGACAAGGACCAGTGCCTGGGGAAGCAGAGCTCACTGAAAAGCTTACTCAGTGCTTTCCACTGTAGAAACAACAGAGCTGGAAGTGACCCTGGGTGCCCCTGCCGAGCAGCCACTTGCCCCCAGCTGCTCCCTGCCCTTTGTCCTGCCAGCACGGGACACCAGGAGGAAAAGTCACGGCTCAGGGGTCCCATGGCCTCAGCTGCCTGGTGCACACAGGGACAGCCCTGCACCTCATGCTGCTGCTGGAAGCAGAGCAGGAACATTTGGCACCTTTAAATCAACCTCTGCAAGGTTTTTTTTCCTCCAGCAGGAATAAAGGCACTCCCTTCATGCAGGATCTTGTTTTCCCAGCTATTAGGCTGGTCACACAAGGATCAAACAGCCAAACTGACTAACTGAAGGCAAATATCAGGCAAAGCAGCACTCGGGGCAGTGCAGCACAAGGGCCAGCTGGGATCCAGGGCTGCAAACCCAGCCTGTGAGCTGCCATCCACACCAGGAGCTCCAGCCTGATATCCAGACGCACAAAATGCATGCCTTGAGCAAGCCTTATCTCTCTCCTCATTATGGAGCTGTGCATTCAAATCCCTCCCCCAGTCCCACCTGCCCTGGCACTCGCTCCTACCGCTCGAGCCACCAAAGCAGCGCAGGACAGTGTGTTTGGGGAGCAAAACAAGCTCAGTGCCAGCAGGGACAGCTGCATAGCCAAGTAAGGAGAGAAGAGGGTGAGAGAAGGCGCTTGCAGCACCACCACAGCCCAGCCAGATCCGGCTCACATGCAGAACACACAGGGCCTGGTGAGTCAGGCTGGCACGTGCTATCTGCCACCACCACATCCTGCTGCTGCTGCCAGGGGCTGTGCTGTGTCCTGGTCCAGCACCCCCAGCACCGCTCTGCTCTCCCCTCCACGGACAAAGAACAACCCACAGGGTTTTAAAAGGCTGCTCCAGTTTATTCATTGCCATTGTACAAGTTTAAGGTAATAAAAGCGTGTTACCAAGTCTGCTTTGAGAGGGCTTAGTTACACTGGGAGGGAGTAAAAAAGGCTGGAGTGGAATCGTCAGGGTTGCTGCACCTTTCCATCAGAAAGCAGCACCTCGTGCTTGGAGCAGCCAGCTACTCTACAGGGAGGGGCTGTGCCCGCCGGGGTGGGCAGCAGGGCAGTGCCCGCTCACACCGAGGGTCCCGCGCTGGACTCGCTGACGTGGCGCCTCCGTCCTGCCACCAGCCCACAGGCCACCGGTCCTGTGGCCACCCGCAGGGCTCCCAGGCTGCAACACAGAGAGAGTCAGCAACCCTGCCAAGCCCCGAATGCGGTGTTACTGCTCTGCATTTATTCCTGCAGCGAAGGGGTGGCAGCCCTGGGCATGCACGTGGTGCATTGGGTCAGAATGCGCCCTGGGGGATGCAGCAGGGACACCCCCCAGTGCCCTGCGTGCTGCATTGGTGCTCCCCTGTGTCACCTCAAAGCACTCACCTCTCCTGGGACTCTGACACCGTTGTCATGGCTGGGTGAGTTGTCTTCCCAAAGAAGAAGCTGGCCCACCACTGGCCAGGGTCAGACTTGGGCAGGTCTGAGGAATGGTGCATGACAGGGAGAGCCCAGGTCAGTGCAGCCCCATGGCCACTTCACCCTCATCCCACAGGAGAGGCTGGCTCACCTCCAGTAAGATTTCCCAAGGAGGGACTGGGAGCAGAGTCCCCAAGAGCCAGGACAGGTGACGCTTACCTGGGCCATGGGGGATGACCTCCCCAGAGTACTCTGAGCTGCAGGAGCTGGTGCTGGATGTGGAGCTCAGGCGCCCTGTGGAAAAATCCTGGCCATCAGAACTACTGCTGACCAATGGTCGTGCCACAAGAAGGAAAACACAGCCTTGGAAAAGCACAGCTCAGCCTCACCACTAACTCACTCCACCACTTGCCCAGTTTAGCACCAGGCCAGCAAAAACCACTAGGACGGGAATACTGGGGAGATTCCAACTGCAGGGAGCAGGAAAACACCTGAACACCTCTGTAGGAAAAAATCTGCAACCCCAAGGACAAAATTTAGTGCCTTTGAGAGGCCTCTGCAGATGACTTGAGACCAAGAGGATGCAAATTCCTGTGTATAATCCATGCACTTTTCGTACAACAGCTACAAGCCTGCTGCTTGTTTCATCCCGGGGAAATCCTTTAATTCCCTCTGGTTTGAGCAATCCATTAAACCAGAAACTCTCCCCGGGTGAGGTACCAGCAGCAACCATTGCCCAGACTGGTTTTGCAGATCATTTCTGAAGCAACAGTGCAAGGTGAAACAGTCCACTCCATCCCCTACAAGCTCAGTAAGAAGCAAAGGAGATCTGAGCCCCCTCACCAGCTGGTACAGCTGGGCTGGGGGGCCCAAAGGAGGTCTGGGCAGCAGCAGGGACACTGCTGGCTGTCCCCTTTTCTCACCAAACACTCACATGGGGCAGCAGCTGAAAGCACAGACCTGAGCTCAGCTCCATCTCTGCTCCAGCCACATCCCCCCACACCTGGCAGAGCCCCCCACATGCTCACCCCAGCCCCCAGCCCCCAGCCTGCCCTTACTTCTGCGATAGTTGTGCGTGGCCATGAGCGAGCCGCTGGATGGGATGGATGCCATGGTTCCTGATCGTGGTTCTTGTGCAGATCTAAACCTGGGAACACACAGGCAGCCGTCAGCACCCACCCGGACCCACCCTGCACCCCCGAACGCTGCAGGGGTGTCAATGGAACCAGCGTGGCTACTGGAGAACCGGGATGTGCAACCCTGCGCTGGGAACAGCGGCTGGTGCTCACCGCACACGGATTAAATCCACAGAGCTCCAAGCGCTACGTGCAAAGCCAAAATAATTCCGTCATACTCAACTGCCTGCCCAGAGCACAGCCTGGCACAGCCCCGTTCCGATCCCCCCCCTCCCCGGGTGTTTTTCTTGCAGGAATCCAGCTCCCCTCCTTGGGTCAACATCTGGAGTTACAAAATCCCAGGCGGATGTTGCATAAGGAGCAAAGAAACCTTGAGCTGGGGCACACACCGAGCGTGTTCCTGCAAGAAGTTTCGGCCCCAGCCTGTCCTCAGCAGCCTCCCCATCACCCACAGCCGGGACAAACCTGGCTGCCCTTCACCTGTGATGTGGTTCAGCTCCAGTTCTGAACTGGAGAAGTTCTTTCCCTCTGCCGGGTACAAAGCACCTTCCTGCCAGCAGCCGTCTCTTCCCACAGTCCGACCCCTAATTCTCCCAGAAAGCTCTAAAAAAGCCTCAGGGGGGGTCAAACGCGCCAGCTGCCAACAGCTGGCGGCCACCGAGCGCCAGCGCGGAGAATCAACCTTTCCTTAGCGGGGAAACCGAGGCACGGGGGGAAGTTCCGCAAAGCAAACCTGGTGTGTGTGCGGGCTCCGGCGGGCAGGGCAGGGCAGGGCAGGGCAGGGGGGTCCGGCACGGGGGCCGCCGATCGCTCGCACCGCACGGCCTGAGCCGCGGCGCTGCCGGAGCCGCCGCGCTGCGCTCTTTTATGGGCGGGGGAGCCGCCCCGCCCGCAGCGCCAGTGACAGCGGGGCCGCGACAAGGGGACACCCCCGAACCACCGCCGCCACCCCAAACCCCGCCCGCCCTCCCACAGCAGGTGCTTCCCCTCCCTTTCCGAAGTTTCTCCTTCATGAGGGTAAACGTGGAAAAGGAATAAATAAGGATTCCAGGGATTCTGAGCTGGCTGGGCTTTATCGGTTCTAGGAGAGAGCGTTTTATTTAGGAGGAAAAGCTTGCAGCAAGGCTGTAGTACAACCCACACCACAGATCAGCTCCTCCGTCTTTGGGTACCAGCTCCAGAAACCACTGGTTTTGTGGGATGTGAGTCTGGGAGAGCCAAGGCAATGGATGTGTGTACAAGGAAGCAGACCTGTTTAAGAGGAACAGAAACTACACAGAAAATTTCTTTCTGTTTGGAACAGAAATGGGGTTGAGAACAAAACACTCGAAAAGATGCCAGAGCTTTAAGGTATCTCCAGAAAGGCAGTTTGGTAGTTGGTATACCTAAAACGTTGCTCATTTTTTCTCCCCTGAAATTCAGTAATGCTCCAGAGCAGAGATTTGCAGCCCAGCATGCTGAGGGCTGCAGCAAAACCTTGCAGTTTGGGCACAGCTGTGGGAAAGAATGTTTTTGGGGGGTGATGCTTTAACCATTTTTAGGATTGATGGCAGAAGGGAGCCCACATCCCAACCTGGGGTGGTTTTGTCACAAACTCCCCATGCAATGAGGTTCGTTCCTCCCCAGTCTGTTTTTTTCCTTAATAATCTGGAGTTATTCTTTAATCACCAGGATGAGGAACCAGTGCCAGGGGAGGCTGCCCTGGGTTGCTCCAGGACATGGATCTCCCTGCACAGCTCATGGGGCAGGCAAAGGGCCGAGCTGCCCTCACGGGTGTGTTTCTCAGTGGGGTGTGAGCACCCCAGCATGGGGACACTCCATGTGAGCCATGTCCCCAGCTGACCCAAGAAGAAGGCCACACTGACCAGTGCCATGGCTACTGGCAAGGACACTCTATGCACCCTCCCAGGACAGCTTTCAGGGAAAACCTTGGCACCACAAGTCTGTAAATAAATAGATTATTTCCAAAATTTACCCCAGAGGTTAAAGGGCCAGCACAAGCACATGTGTGGTCCAGCTGGGGACTGACTTCCTCCAGCTGTGCCTCAGTTTCCCCGCTGATAATACTGACTCAGCGCTTTCCAGGGAAGGATTTGGCTAGGGGTTGTGATGGACTTTGAATACACAAATTCCAACAGGCAGTTTAAACAGCCACGTGGTTGTTTTCATGCCCAGCATAAGGCTTTGCTTTTGTGCTGCGTGACTGGGTTTGATCATTTGATTTCAGGGTCCTCACACTCCCAGACCATTTTCTCCCAGAGCCGCCTGGCTACAAAGCATGGAGAGTTCTAGGGCACAGGCTTGGGAGATTTTTCTGGCCCAGAAGGGAATGACAGAAGGCTAAAAACTCAGTGCTTCAGACATGATAAGTCACTTTTGTTTCAGTGTAACCTGTGTCATCTCTCAGGTCCCTCCTCAAGTCCCTGGAGATGTATTCCTGCACTCTCTGTCCCCCTAATTGTGTACACAGCAATTACATGTATTGATATAAAGACTATATTCTATAATAATGGATTATATTCTCCCCAGCAGGTACAGGATGGCTGTGCACCCCACCAAGCCTGAGCAGGCTAATTGCTTTAATTAATGATAGAGCAGAAATGAAGAAACCTGCCCCAGCCCCTTTGTGCAATGACACCATTTACACCCACATTTGGGGCTGCTTTTAAAGGATCACCTCATTAAGCAGATAACACGGGGGGTGGGATGCTGCACCCACAGCCATGAGGGGTGAATCGGGGCTTTTCTACTTCAGGGGGATCAGTCTCCAGCAAATCATGCCTTGTTCTGCTTTTCCTCTCAAAATCAATTCCATTTTTCCCTAATGATGCAGCAGGAGCAGCATGGGTAGGACAGAGCAGCCAGGGGAGATTGATGGAGAAGCCAGCCTGGTTTCCCAGGACAAAGCCTGTTCATATCAGACATGTTGAAAAGAGGAAGATACATTTCATTTATATTGATCAAGAAATGGTAGTTTTAAAGTGAGCAGATGACAAGATTTGGATAGATTTTTCTCTTTGGTTTTCCTCTCATTAGAGGCTTTAGGCTGGAGCCTAGGACTGCAACTCTCTCCAGTTCGCTTTTCAGCAAGGTTTCTATGTTTGGGGGCTTTTTTGTTTGTTTGTTCTTTGGGTTTTCTTTTGTTTTTTTTTTAAATCTGGCTTTTAGCTTCTGTCAACTGGTTTTTGTTATCTGCCATTTGTGAGGCCCTTGTGTCATTTTGAACTTGGCAGAAATTTCTGGAAGCTGGCAAAGCTGCAGAGCTGAAGGAGCTGCTGCCTCTGGACTCCACTAGCACACATGGGCCAGCATCAGTGGGTGTGTGGGGTACCCCAATGGCTTCATGCTGCCACCAGATCCCTTCTAGGGATGTGACATCCCAGTGGCTTCAGGAATTTGGTCAAGAAAAGGTTGCCCAGCAGCCCCTCCCCACCGGAGTACGCAGCAATTTTCTTCCTGGGTAAGATGCAGAGCTTAGTCCTGGCACAGCAGTAGAATCACAGACTGGGTTGGGTTGGAAGGAACCTTAAAGCTTATCTCATTCCAACTCCCTGCCATGGGCAGGGACACCTTCCACTAATCCACAGCTCTCCAAGCCCTGTCCAACTTGACTTGAACACTTCCAGGGATGGGGCAGCCACAGCTGCTCTGGGCACCCTGCTCAGTAACACAGAGCTGAGCTCTCTAGAGTGCTACAAAGCCTGATCCTGCCCCACGGAGGCCTTTCCTTGTTCTCCCTCTGCCGAGGATCTCCTGCTGCAGAGGGGAGAGCAGGCACGACCTGTGTTCAGGCTTGCCCTTCTTTCCTGCTCCTCCCTCTCTCGCTCCTCCTCCTCCTCCTCCTCCCCAGCCCTTTCCCGGCTCTGTTACTCACTGCCGGCTTTGGGATAAGGGCAGCGCCCGCCCGGCACAGGCAGCTGCTGCCACCTATGGATAATAAACACCCAAAATATTCATCCCAGATGCCACATTTAGGGCCACCTCTGGTCAGAGACAGAGCAGCCAAGCCCATGCTCAGGTTGTGGCCTGATAGAGATGCTTGGACTTCTTCCCCTGCCTGTACGAGTTTAAATTGGAAAAGGGAACGTCCTGGAAATGCAGGGAAAGGCTTTCCTTAAGCACAGTGCTTGGAGCAGCATATTTTACCTGTCATCTGGAAATCGTGCTCTGCCTTTCTGGGACATGTGCAGCAGAGACACAAGTGCCACCTTAGCAGGAGAATAAACCAAAGTCAGATCAGGGCATGGACCTCTGTCCCCACGGTGATGGGAGCAGCTCTGCTGTCCTCACCTGCAGTCCAGTTTCTCAAAGTGCACAGGGAATTGGCATCAGGACACCCGGAATTCTGAGTCTGATTTGAAAACACACTGTGGAGAGTTAGAGAGTCACAAACTGTCTGATTTGGCTGTGCAAAAGGGATGTCTCCAGTTTGGAAAAGCCAGTGAAGAGAGATGACAGCTGCCTGCTGTAATCCAGAGGCTTGTGGTGAACTTGGTTCCACAAGTTCCTGGCTTTTGGTTCATCTGTTCTTCTCAAAAAAACTGGAAAATCATCTTGCAGAGACCAGCAGCATCACTGAGCAGGATCCATGTCTGCAGAAAACTCCCAGACCAGCAACTCCTTTGTGAGATCAGGGGAGATGCCACTACCAGTCACTACCACCACATGAAAACAAATTATTCACCAATATAAACCCTAGGGCTTTGATGGGGGTTGGTTCAGCAAAAAAAATTTCTCATTAGGTTCCCTGATCCTCTTTTCACCCTCTGGATGCATCCAAAGCTTATGCTGTTATCCAGGTATCTCCTTTAACATTTCCACTAAAGCCATCAGAAGATATGGGCAGCCAGGGCTCTTTTCACTCAGTGGCTGTGGTTTGATAGGAAAATCCATCCCTGGGATAAATAAGGCTTTTCCTAACTGGGAGATGTGCACAGCTGCCAAAACAAGCACATCAATCTGGTGTAGCTTGACACAGCACCAGACATCTTTGCTGAAAACCCAGCATGGTCCAGGGGCAAGGCAGCATCCTGCAAACAGCACTAAACCACAGGGCAGAGGTGCCTTATTTCATTTGGGCTTGACCTAGATTGGGCTCTGCCCATCCCCAGCTCATGGGGAGATTTAAGGGATCAGCGTCTCGCAGCCCCCACAGATGCTGCATGCAGGCACCAGAAATGTCACAGTGTCCCTGATGAGATGTGGGTGAAATGGTGTTTGTCTCCTTCCCTGATGCTAAAAGATACTTCAGGGCATGGAAATGTTCATCCTGGCAGCATCCCAGATGGACAGCAGCTCAGGCTGAGTAGTTTTATCCTTCACAGCCTCAACCCCATAACTCAGATATCTGGTGGAAAAGAGGTTCCTGGAAGAGCATCCCCTGGAGCTGTGTGCTACCACTGACACCCAGGATGAGTGGGGACAGTTTTCAGAGCCTTTAAGCATTGTCCCTCCAGCACTGCTATCTCAGATCACCTTGGACCCCCCCATGGCTGTGACTAAACCCCACTGGGCAGGTCCCAGCGGTGTGAGCACCATGGTGGGTCCTAAGGAGAAGCCCACCCTGCACTAGGTACTCTGCTGTCCCATCAGGGATGACACCAGACTCTGTCCCCAGCTGGCCAAAGTGGCTGGAGGACTTGGATGTCTTGTTCCTGCTCCCAAAGTTTATTTTTAAATCTCTGCCTCCAATTTAAAGGTATCAGCAGCATGCGCTGAGTGCAGGACCTCAAAATATTCCCTTTCTCCTCCTTCCCCTGCCTTTCTGTCCCATAAATCCTGTTTTTATATCCCCTCTCCAGGTCTACAACATGAACATGAGCTGAAAAACCTG